GTTTTTAGACAATATTTCTTAAACAAAAGGTAAAAATACAACTTTAAAAACATAAATACAAACTAAAAAGTGTCTTCTATCAGATAGTATAAGCAGCTTTTATAATACTGTTTGCAATTTTGCAATAATTAAGTTTTTTGTAAGTTATGCAAAAATGAGCGTCTGACAAAATGGGCTCCAAAACTGACATAGCAATAATGCCAACATTTTATAAATAAAGATATATCCTATTCTGTAAAGAAAACTAATTTATGAAATTATAAACATTTAAAATGACATAATATTATTAATAATACAGTCACTATTATTTTAATTACGCAATTTGCAAAAGAACATCGTAAGAATTTTCTTCTCGAATTCATAGAATTTGTTTTTAGCTGATTTGGTATAGAAATAAGTCACAAATATATGAATTATGAGTTTGTACTTCTTTAATTAGCTAAACAGATCACGTTTTTATTGGTATTAATAAGGTGCAAAAGGTTAGTTTCTAAGAAATAAGGGAATGTCGCTTTAGGAGACCTATGTTCTCTGGTAAAAATAAAAATCGAAGCGTAAGTCGAAAAAATTGAAACAACGAAACATAAAAGAGGCATTTATGCTTCTTATACGTTCCGTTGTTCCAATTTTCGCCTCCTAGAAGCTTCGTTTACGCTTCTATTACTCTCCAATTACATTCGACTTACGCTCCGATTTTTATTTTCATCAGGGTTAGTATCAGTGATCTTCCTCTACTATATGAATTCAAAAATATTTATGTAAAATTACATTGAGATGCAGATATTAATTGTTCAGTAAATAAACAAAATATTTATTTGTTATAAACTAATTCGTAAATCTCAGTGAAACTTTGTATAAATCATGTTTAGTACTTAATATATTTACCATATATTAAAAAATTTAGATTTTTGTTCTTAACAATAAAATATTTAAAAAATTTTTGTTTATAACAATAAAACTAGTAACAAATAAAATAATTAATCTATAAAAATGTGTTGCTCAATGAAAACAGAATGTTATGAACACAACTTTCACATGTATGTAGTTCAAGTATGTTTAAAGCGTAAATATTAATATATGTGTTTTATATGTATATGACTGGAAAACCTCCTTAAAAGTTTCACATCGGGACTTTGTGTTAAAAGAAATGTTGAAATTAATTACGCAAAGAGTTATCAATATTTTAGAAAAGATCAGAGAGTTTCTCCATCTGTTTTTATAAATATAATACTGGTATAATTGTAAATTTTATGTGTGATTTCGTCATTTAATTTTATTCACATTGTTCTATCGGATGTTTTTATGTAAAAGAATAATAACGAAAAAGAAAAATTAAAATTAAATGATCATACCTGAATTTTAATCATATTCCCCAAATGCTTTTTAAACGCTTTTCATGACATAAATAATATACGTCTTCAAGAAATAACCGTTAACTAGCTGCACCGGATGTGTATGGGAGAAAATACGTTTATTATTCACACCAACATTGTTGCGATAAAACCGTATCTATTCCATGTAGCACAGATCTCCAAGGGACGTTCTGAAGGACATTCCCAGGAAGATCTCTGGGATAAAGTTTGCTGTATGAGATAAATATAATATATGCTCAACCTTTTATTAACGTATAACATACTTGGATACTAAATCCTATTCTTTTATTAACGTATAACATACTTGGATACTAAATCCTATTCTTAATACGTTATTTAAAGGAATATTTTTTTTTTTCGCAAATTATAAACGTATTAAAATTTACTTAGAACATTATACTATCTTTATACATATTATAAATGTTCGTACATGAAATTCTGATGTTCCATAAATTACTTTTTAATGTATAAAATATGTTTTGTATTACATGTACATAGTAAAATACGTAGTAAAAACGATTATTATAAACACATATTATATTATCATATAAAAATATGTTTATCCCATATACTACATGTACATATATATATATATAATATATATATACCCAAGTAACACAGCAGCGCTTGCAAAACACTAAAAAGTGATTTTATGCGCTTTTTTAGCGCTTTGTTCACGCTTTGTAAACTACTTGGATATACATATATATGTCGTACACCTACCAGTTATATACCATTCTTTCATTTAATAAACGTGCACAAAACAATTTTGTTCTTACCGGATAAAAAACACAAAGTCAGGGCCATGGCAAATAAAAAAATTTAAGCAGTAAGATGTAAGCAGTAAGGGAATCAACGTGTTTGATCGACTACTACTTACATTATGGCCTTACAGCCTCTTCTGTGATTGACCAATTCACTTACTGCTTACATCTTACTGCCTTACGTTTTTCTATTTGTTTCTAGTTTAACACTTTTTGTCTTTTAAATAAAATTGCATGACATGTAAAAACGTAAATCAATTTTTTTCTTTATTGGTTCTAATAGTATCAAAATGTTATCTGTTTTTCTGTAATTACAATAGAAAAATAACTGAAAAAAAACTGAAAAGTTACTTTTTGAGTAACTAATTTTTTAGAATCGATAACTTGTGACGACAATTATCTTATTTAAAAAAAAAAACTGTAACTCTAATTACTTTTACAAGTAACTTTCCGAACTCTGTTAAAATACGTAATTTTGTAATAAAAACGTCAAGATTTTGTTTTTCTGAAATATAGAATTTGTTTGCTTTTCTTTTCTATATTCTGGCTTGTTTGTCATTAATATTTTGTTCCAAAAAGAAAAATTGTAAGACAAAACTTCTTATGTCATTTTGCATATTGCACCGAGTTGCATCAATCTCGACACAATTCCAATGGTCGACAGCCTATGGTTTGTTCAAATTTATGTTTCATCATGTGCAATTAGCCAAAGACGATGTGTTCTTCTCTTAGGGTGATAATGGAAGGGGTTCAACTTCTTGTATTACGCGTTTGGTTTTAGATTAATGTCTCGTATACCTACCTAGCACGGCCTCACAGTGGAAACTGGTCCAGTTTCGTTCATATTCAAACTCAGTGCGGTCATGTCGGGAAATCGCAGTAATATTTCTGTACTTCTGTTCGCCGCTATAGCAGCCCTCCATTTGGTGATTGTACAGGTAAATCCTGGTTTTTATTCGGCAGAAATAGTTTTACTGTGTAAAAAAGTATTTTTTATTACATGCATAGCTCATACGTTATGAATTATATATTTAATGGACGAATTAGCCCTAAAATCTAATTAATATCATGCTTGTACGTATTATGTATTTCCCTAACATTTTAATAAAATAGTTGTGATATGTATCGTATAAAGGATTGTAACTGAGAATTGTATTATTGTATGAGACACATTTTATGGAGGATTTATAAAATATTGTATAAGATATTCTATGCACATACGCGTGCATATTGCACTATGTTATGTGCTTATACTGTGAAATATAATATATTGATACTTGATTCTGTCCGGAATTAAAATCACGTCAAATTTGTTTACATTGTAATATAATGACAACATAAAGAGATGGAATAAAGAAACGTCCTTGACTTTGAATAAATTGAGGCAACATTTGTTACACTCTGCTGGACTTGAAACTTTCTCTAAATTGTAAAAGCGAGTTATGATAGTTGAAAGAGATCACTTTTTACAATATTATAAAAATATTCACGACCATCCATTACTTCGTTTAAAGAGCTTATATTTTAAGAGCTTTTTGTTAAATATTTTTATAATAATATTTCTAATAATCTCTCTATCTAATAAATGAACTTATTATAATGCTTTATTTTTCTAACGATATATTTGTCAATTTTTAGGGACGAATAATAGTAAATGATTATTATGACCAATACCAATATCAAAATTATCAACCCGTAGTGGGATTTCGTCAACCTATTGTCGTAAAAGAAGAACCGAAGAAAGATCAAGACTTTAGCAAGATTCCTGGAATCCCTGGAATAGATTTTCCTCTTTATCACACAGTGCCACCTACAAGTTTTTCTTGCGCACATGTTCCGGTCGTACCAGGAATGTACGCAAACGTAGAAACTGGTTGTCAGGTATATGTTAATGATATCTATTTACTTTTAATATTTCATACTAATTATTACTGATAAGAGCTGTTATTAATATTATACTTTTATGAAAGTCAGAATGAATTATTTTAATATGAAAAATTTTCGATTATGGATGACAACAGGAAAGAAACTGTATAAACACGTGATAAGTTAAATTCGATTAAGGTGAAATAGCAATGTTAAGAACATGTATTACTCCAGCATATTTGCAGCTTTGAAAAGTACAACACTGTTATTAAAGAAACGAATGACGCAAAAGTACATATATGAAATATTAAAAAAAGTATTACGAGGACTTCAACAGTGAAGGCAGAATAGCACAGAAGTATAAGCGCGTTATTCAATAATGTAAGATTGAATTCAGCAAAAAAGGCACTATCATATTTATATTTTATCCGTGTAAAATTGATGTGGAAATCTAGATGTCGATATTCAACAAATGAAATAAAATTTTAAAAATACTAAAAATAATCCATCAACTCAAGGTCAATACCAATAATATATCGTAAACTGATGTTCTCCATGCGGTATTACGCTTTCCGTGTCGTGTTTTGTCGTAGAAAATGATGGAACTGCTCGGAAAGCAAGGTAAAATCATTTCAACGATTTTAACTGCGCGCAGCGTGAGCTGCGCGCGGACAAAGTAGAGCGGATTTATTATGTAAGAGAACGGACTGGTATTATTAAAACCTCAAGGCAACGCGGGAGATCGCGGTAAGAACCGATCTCGCTTTAGTGAAAGATATAACTCTGAGGGAGAACAGTCTTGGCAAATTGTTATCGTAATTGAGCTTGATTCAGCCCTTCTCGGTGTGTCGAGATACGCTGAATGTAATTTTGTCTCCTTGCCTTTTCAACAATTTTCGTAATTTCAAAAAATATATCTTTTCTCATAACTTATCTACACTGAAAGAAAAGATTGGCTGAATGTGGCATAGCATTTTTAATTGGCTGTAGCCAATTTTTGGTTGCAATAGCCAATTAAAAATTCTATGCCATATTTTACCATCCAAATTGCTGCAGCAGCTAATCTTTTCTTTCAGTGTATAATATTCGCTTTCGCGAAGTCATCCAAAATATTTATAACGGTATAAATATAATAGTACAAGATACCACTTATTCTTTCATGAACAATAAAGCGCACTGACATAAATGATGTTACGTGACTCAAATGCTCCGTCATGCATCGCAACTTGATTTCCAGAGCGCGCGCTAAACTTTCTTTTTCAAGAATGTCATTTGCTTCCTTTGTATTTCCTTAAACCTGACGTCTTTCCTATCGTTTCACGTCGCTCCTATTATTTTCAGTAAACTTGCACAACGAGTTTCGCATTAATTCCTTAATTACGACATTTATGTAATAGAAAAGCATTATATTAACCTTATTTTATCAGTTTGCAGTGCGCGATTTTTTAAATTCTATATTATTTATATAGAAGTTCAATTGTTTAAAATGGTTCTTAAATATAATTCTACATACGACTATTTAATTTTTTGTGTACATTTTATATATATGTAATATATAATATTATTACAGGCATATCACATTTGCCATGATGGACGTGAAGGGCATCAGGGTGCCTCCTTTTTATGCACCAATGGAACGCTTTTTAATCAAAACGAATTTGCATGTGATTGGTGGTACAATGTCAATTGCGCTGATGCACCATCTCTTTATAGGTAAAGTTTCTTTTTTTTCGAATCCCAACAGGGATGCGTCCACAAAATATGAGAAACCATTTTGTAATGATTTAATGATTTGTTAATTTAATTTATCAATAAAATTTAATATATAATAAGTAATATATAATAACTTTACTTTAGTACTGACTTAGTGCTACATTTGCAGGGTAAATGAAGACCCGTTGAAGAATCCGTACGTACCACAGGAAACAAAAGACGCAATTCGAAAGAGATTGAAGATCGTCGTACTTTAAATCGTGTATCAAATTAGCTATATAGCTGATTAATTTAATCTACACTATTTTTTCACATAAGATTTATTTATAATATTCGTGTGTCTCTCTCTCTCTTGTTAAGGTTAGTAATAAAAAAAACGAATAAAATAAATGAAAATATACGAATATTAATTTTTCATTTACAATCAACAGTGTTAGTTGTTTCTCCATAGCAAGATTAATTTCCTAAATTTAATTTTCTACTGTGATCAACTCGTAAAAATTTACATTTCTGTTAAGAGCATCAATCCATTACATTCGTCGAGGAATATGAAGGTGAGTATTAAGATAGTGAAAGCTATGGAGAGAATATGAAATATTCTAAGAGAAGTACATCATGAGGGAAATCGGCATTTGAAATTAATTAATGTCTTTTCTATTTTCCGCACAAAATCACTCTCTTTTTTGTATTTCCAGTTTTAATATGTATTTTCAATTTTATATAAAATATAACAGTTTAATGAGAGAAAAGAATAAATTGACGCGATAAGACAATCATAGTAAATGACTGTCATAGTAAATAAAACTAAAACGCTAAAGCGCTAATATATATTTATGCTTATGAAAGGATTAATATAATACAGTAAATTATACGCAAATTATAAGACATCTAGTATATCTGGTAATCTAAGTCGCTGTAGTAATATTTTATTGCATTCACTTAGATTAGATATGATGTTAATATGCAACTTTAATGATTTAATTATAGTAAATGCATCTTATAATATATTGGCAGGGACTTTCTGTCTTCCGCATGTTTATATGACGTACTTCTAGTCAGTGATAGATTCGAAAGTCTTGATGCACATACGTAAATATTCAATTGTCATTAATTACCTGGCGAGAAGGATGAAAGTCGTAGATACCGATCTAATACAATCATTGCTTTTAGAGAGAGTATCTATTGTTGGTAAACCTAGTGCGTGAATATTCTCCTTTTTCCTTGTAAAAAAATTAAATAATTACCAAAGAACACGGTCAAAATAGCAATCGCGAAAGAAACGGTATTAATATTAAAACTTATAAAACTCGTTTTTAAATAACATACCTCTCCCTCACTTATATTTTGTCCATCTTTCCAAAGTATGACATACATAAATCTTGTTATGTATGTAATAATTAAATAATTTTGTTAATTTGTTTACTCTAGAATTGTTAAATAAAGTATAACTGTGTATAATATATAAATGCAGGCGCAACATTTGTGTGAATGTGTATATATACGCAAGTTTTTATTAAATTATAACGGATATTACAAGTTTAATTGAAGAAATATCATAAAGTATATATTAATATATTAAAACTGTTCAGGAAGAGAAACTTGATTGCAAAACTCTTGAGAAAATCAGAGACAGGATGTTACATAGACATCGAATAGGAAGTAAAGTCAAGGACATTACTTGGCTCACTTTCGTTATCGAAAGGCTGTGAACGTCTTTTGCAGTGGAACGGATAAGTCGCGCGAAGCGGATAAGAACTGCCCTTTCTCTAGGCCGTTCAAAGCTAATAATGACCTAACGATAGACAGATATAGATAGGTTGAACACGCAATACACAATTCTCGCACGGATTCGTATCGTTCTTACAATTTTATTCAACATCTTGAGTATCCGGATTGACAAACGGAACTATAACACAAGACAGTTCTAGTTGTAATGATACAATTAACTGTATAGTAGAAAACTTAGATTAATGCAATTGATTGTTATAGTGGAAAAATTTTGTTAAAATTTCGCTGAAATTATTCTAATTTTTCCAACAGTTTTCATTGAAATATCGGCAAAATTTTAATGAAATTTCGGCGAATTTTTCAACAAAATTTCATAAAAATAAATGTTTACAGTTTTATTGCTAAAATAAATATTATTGATTAGCATCATATTCCAAAATACACACGACAAAATATTATGATAAAACAAAAATATTTTCTTCTGAATTCAGGAATTAATTTCATATGCTCTCAACCCATCCTAATGCTATACCACATCTAGCACTGCTTAATCTCTGCGATCGTATATGAGAACTGCTCCTGTGATCTATGAATACTGTATGTTAATGAATCTATAATTGTGACATATATAGCTGATCAAAGATGTGGAAAAAATAGAACACCTACATATAGTTAAAGTATATTTCTTTCATAATGCATATATGTAATTATATGTATATGTATATATAGAGGGTGTCCGGTAATGACCGTATAATCTCTCGTGGGTAGAGTGGACTTAGTTGAAAAGTCCTCTATCATTTTATAATTTTCGCAATAGTTAACGAGTTATTAATTTCTAAAGATTACTGAATAAAATCAAAGCATAAGACAACTTTAAGATATTTTTCAGATTTCTTTATGAAATATCTTAAAGATATTTATTGTATAATTAATAAGCATATGTATTCTAATCACTAGTGACACAATTACGAAAAGAATTAGAATTACAAAAGACAAATCTGTTAATATCGCTTTTTACATATTCCTTCAAATCCGAATTCAAAAATCGTTACAAATAATAAATAATTTGTTATAACTTTATTTATAACAAATTGATACAACGTCGCATCTAAAAACTAAAACCAAGAGAACGATTTAACGAAACGGTATTTCTTTCTTGCGTTTTAATCATCAATAAGCAAGCATAGATTGCGGAATAATTTTAACGATTGTAATGAGATTGTAAAACATTGGTAGAAAATAGTGGAAATAACATATAACTTTAGAGTTTAGAAACTCTCGTCTCTCTTCAATTTATACTAATATTTCGAGGTGAACTGAATTGTTTTCTACGCTCGCTTTCTCGCACCATCACAATCACTTGTCTACATAAGTACAAAGAAGGAGTTCCATTGTGGCATTTAAAAAGCCAATTTAAAGCTGCAATTAGGTAGCGTATTAGAATAGAATTATTGAATACCTTCAAATAATACAAGTAGCTGCGGAAAATTGCAATAGATTGCGCACGAGTATCTTTGGTAATACGTATATGAATGTTGTTCATACATCGAGCAATATACCATACTGATTCACCCATCATATATTATAGAAAATGAATTTATAATTATTATTAATTACACGTGTATTAGATTAAAATTAAACAATCAAAGATAATTATGTAACAAAAGTTTTTGTATAATGAAATGAAATTTTGTAATCTTTTTTTAGCTTATATATATGTGAAATGTTTCTAGAAAATCGATCGCTATCTAATTTGTTAGTTCATTGAAATATTTTAAATTATATACGCAAACATGGCAATGCCAAATTTGAACACTTCGTATGATCATTTGATATTGTATGATATTTCGGCAAGAATCAAGTAATATAGCAAAAAATGTTTTTAAAGAATACCGAAGTGTTCGATATTATATGTCTTGTTTGCGTTTATGACTTTAATGAATAATTTATTCGTAGATTTACGAGATATACTGTGGGTATATATTTTTGACTAATCTGCAACTATGTTGCGAGCGAGTTCTTGGACATTCCGTATAGATAGACACACACCTCGTTTCATGACAAGCTGTAATAAATCGATGTGACACGTAAGCTAATAATGAAGTCGGATCACACATACACATAGACAATACATGACAAATGTAAAACACGTTTCGCATGTGATCAACTCTCATTTCTGTCACATCGCAAATCATAGCTAATGATTAAGTAGATACAATTATCAGGCACATTAAAGCGAAGACTACCAATCCTTTTCTATATTTTTTATTATTACGGAGACGCAACGTTTCCAGAATGCAATTAGAAAGTGGTCCATAAAGCGTTCAGGTAATTTACGTAGAGATAATAAAAATTCATATGAACACCAAGGTCTGCATTGGTTCACGAATTGATTCGACTAAATTTTTTTTTACAAAAATAATCGAAATGGATCATCAACCGTACACATTCTCTTCGAACGCGTATGCGCACACACTGTCGTATATCGTAAAGATTAATATGCCAAGCAAACAATGCGACTGATTTCAACGTATGATTTCCGGATATACCATACGATATTGCACAAAATGCGGCCGTCTGATACACACAAAGCGATTATTCGCCCAGTGTCACGCTTGAATAACGAGATGACGTGGATAAGTACAAACCGTGCATGTTCGTGCGATGACGTCAAAGTAACTCTCTAATTTAAGATTTACTTGATTTCAAATTTACACGCTGTGTTAACAATACGATTAAGTGAAAAATTAATGAAATTAATGAAATTAAAAATTAATAAAATAAAAAGTGAATGTAACATCAAATATGTATAATTTATCGAAGCAAAAGACATAGAGCATCCGTGTGTAAAATTAGTCGAAAAATGAAAGAAAACGCGAAAACGGCCAATCTTAATCTTTTTCTATTCAACCAATCACATAATATTAGAAAGAGGAGGAGATTGGCTATCTTTAGCTCTTTCTTTCTCTCTTTCATTTTTGTTGACCATATTTGTTATATTATTTAGATTTCTTATACTATTTATGGATGGTCGCAATCCATGTTGCTACGTTAATTACAAGAAAGAATATTGTATAAAATCTGTTATATCAGAAGATGTATATTATTCATCTAAAGAATGTATTGTACTATCTTACTGCAATCATATTTTCTCGATTTTTTCGACAAATGTTCTAATCAACATCGATTCGACTGAATCATGAGACTTAAGGATAGCATAACCATGCATTAGACAATAACGTTCGGTATAATATGATTACGGATTTCCTCTGCAGATTTGCACACACCAAGATACACTTTCACTCGAATTTAATCAGTTTCGATCCCAAAGAGATTCCAATTATTAGATTGAGTGCTTCCTATTACTAATTTTTATTATAATTTGCAGTATCAAAATGCACATAAAAAATGATGTCAATTTTCAAAGTTTTGCTTCTATCTACGTAATTACGACAAAAAGATATCATACAAGATGTTAGAATGAAGATACTATTTATTAAGATAATTAAATAATAATTTATTAAAAAAATTAAATTGACTAATTTTGTTGTATGTTAAATAG